TCTCTTATCAGTCGTTCATACCTAATCACATTCGCACTCAACTGGAAAATGTCAGGAAATTTCTTGTCCTGGAATTTCTTTTTTAAATCAAAGCTCAAGCAGCCCTGAGCGATTTTGACAAATTCTTTTTCGGGCAGAGGTACAAAACACTTGCTTCTTGCTGTCTTGAACCTTTGGAGAAAACTTTCTGCCCATTCGTTTGGCATTTGACGTAGATTCGCCAAATCAGTCAAAGTGATTTCAGACTCAATTTTATAAAAAACTGAGCGTGAAATAACTGTTCCAATTGTTGCCATGTTTGAACAGAATTCATTGGCAAGTTGATGAACCAGGAGAAAGCTACTCCTGTTAATGAACTAGGGAAAAGCCTCATTTTATGGTAATCGGTTACATCACCACTTTGCAATGTGAATCGCCCTATGTGTTCTAGAGTAGACACCTCTCCTAAACTGGTGAACAGGGAGAATTCTGGCACCTTATACCCTCTAGGCCATAGATATGCTTGGTCTACCCAATCAGGATATGGCTTTGTGTAAGTCGGCCTAATGATGGGATGCACCCCAAAAGCCATCTGATCCTGTATGATTTCCATAATCTGATTCCTCAACATGACGTTGGGGTCATATGGAATTCCTACAGGTTGGTTAACCGGTTGATTTGCATGAGGCCTGATGTTTGGTCCTTGATTGGCAACAAAGTTACCATGATTAGGGCCATTACCATTAGCCTGAACATCTATTCCCTCATTAACACGTGGGGTATTCTGTCCATTGTTTAGGACATTATCTCTTATATTTGGATTATCCCCCAAGTTAGGCATACCACTACCATTGTTCTGGTTTGGCACTGCAGTACCCCCTTGGTTTGAAGTAGAGGGACCAGAAAGTGGTTCTACCCCTTAGTTCGGATTTAGGACTGAGGAATTATGTCCCACAATTGTCCTAATTTGAAAGTGATTTGCAAGAGGTATAACCGATTGACATATTTGGCCTACTAACTTATTCATTGTTTCGTTCAAAGTGTTTAATTGTTTGGCCATGTTGTCATAGTGTGCATTTCCATTTTAGGTAAATCTTTCCATATTATGAATACTTCGAAGATTTACCTGTTCAACGACGTCTTGTGTGAGTTCTCCAAGTAATGCACACATGGTTCGAGGGCTCAACTCCGTCATTGGTTCGTAACGACTGTTACTGCTCTGATTCTATCCATCTGTTCGTGGAGAGGCATGCTGCTCCTCATATCGCTCGATCACAGATTGGATTCCTCCCTGACTTGCTGCTTCCTTATCGGATCTCTGAGGCATATTGTTTCACCTTTTGTATTTTCAACACCAAACACCACTGTCCCACTGGGCGTGCCAAATTGTTTCACGCGGGTTAGTCGCTAACAATTAAAAGGGATCAGACGATTGTGTAAGGGACAAACCTCTTGAGACAAAGTCCCAAAAAGACGTGTTCTTTTATTGGCGATGACTTTACAATTGGGAATTAAAAACAAAATGCCTCCAAAGGGCGCAAACACACGAGTTACTGAAAAAAGTGTTTAAGTCTAAACTAAGGAAATTAAAATTACATGTTCTCTGTTCGAGAGTTTTTGATTTGGTTCTTTGCTCTATGTCTTTTCTCCCTTTCATACTTCATGGATGATCTCTTTGTGATCAACCGCCTAAAAACTGCTTGATCGTTCTACAACTGTCCACTTTCCTCGTAATGGCCAACTTATCATGAAACTGCCTTGTTTAACTGCTGTCATTACTCTTCGTTGTTCAACCGCTTTCGATTGAATTCCTTGAATCGTGGAACGTGATATGGCTGCTTTAATAACTGCTTTGATAACTGCACTTCTTGATAATCACAACACTTTATGTTTGCTAAGACCTTGGGCGATTTGAAGGTTTGGGCGAGAATAGAGTAACGGCTCTAGGCGACTGCATGGCACTCCATTCGCTCAGATTCTGGGCGACTTGCAAACTTGGGCGATGGCGTTACCGCGTTCTTGGCCCTCCCTATTTGGGCCTTCATCTTGAATTGTTTGATTGGGCTTCGTTCTTTGGGCTATCCGATTTGGGGACCTTCCAATTGGGCTTCATTCCTTGGGCCGTTCGATTTGGACTAAATTTTTATGTGTCAACAGTATGAATTGTAGTTATCGAATTGTTTAGTCAACCGTGGCACAAGATAAGGCAAATAATCACACAATACAAAGAAGAAACATGCACATCTCCATTCACAAAATTAAAAGAAGCTGAGTGTAAAAAAGGAGGTTCATCATCCTACATACACGTGCAAAACCAGAAATCAGAAGAGCAGCCCAATTAAAAGGAACATATATAAACTAACAGTAACATTGAAAAATATATCATGCCCAGAGGTTCAAATACTAACGATTATCGAACTCCAAAATTTACATTAACTACAAGACATGAGCATAATTAAAAGATTTAACTTACATTTTCATGCCTAGAGATGATAGATCTTCAATAGAGGTCGATTTTTTCTGAAGTGGCAACAAAGATTACACTTCATATGGAGGATTACATATAGCATATTTTTTGATAGGTAATAAGAGACATCATTTGTTTGGTTTTCATACCCAATAAATGCCGGACAATGATATTAAACAGTTTCAGATTATATTTTATAGGCTTCGACTGAGGAGTGAAATATTTATCAACCAATCAATTCATATGCTCGACCCAAAGAACAACGTGAGCCACTAGTAGCAACTTAATTGGTTTTAATGTTGTCTTGGTCCAAACTCACTTATAGGAGGGCTCCCTTATGTTTTGGCCCATTACTCTGTGTCTTTGGCCCAACCTTTTGTGTCTTAGCCCAATTGATAATATATCTAAAGCTATATATACCAATCTTCTTGTATGAAAGCCGTGTGTTTTTGCCTTTGTTTGAGAAGAGAGAAACAGCTATCTCCTTATGATCTTATTCAAGTTCTTGCCTTCTTCTATCTTCTCTTTGCCTTTGTGACTTACAAAACACCACCATATTGTTGTCCCTTTTTGGGTGAGAAATGAGGAATGCAACCATAAGTGATTAAGTTGTGGGTTGAGGTTTGATTGGTTGGTTGATGTATTGATTGGTAAATTTAATCTAAGCCCGGATTCCACGAATTGAAGATCTATTCCACTACATAATTGAAGAAGTTCTGTTCATGATTAAACTAAGTGAAACAGTCTGAAAAGATAGATTTGTTCATGGTGCAAGCAATGCATTGAAGTTCAAGAGTTAGAAGGAAAGATTTTTGAATTAATATATATATAATAGTATTGTAGCAACATAAAATTATTAATTGAAATATAATCAATTCTATCTAGTTTATTTTATGACAATATATATGTGTATGGGTGTCTCTGTGGGTATATGTACAGATAGATAGATAGATAGATAGATCATAGATGTATCAAAATTTGTCATCATGACAATTCTAATAAATAGAACTACAATGGGAATTTTCAAAGAGTGGCATTAGTCACTGTTAATAAGAATTATTAACTTCAGCACATAAAACGGAGTTGTTTCTGAATATTAGAGCATCGGCTGCAATATGAAACTAAATAAATCAAATTATATAAAAATTACTGCAACGGCACACCTTCTGTTGCCTCTGGTTTGTATAATTGTATCTAGCTGTTTGGTATTTCTGCAATTCAAGAAAAAGATTCCACCAATGCAGGTTAAGAAAAAGGTCATGACACAAGAATACAACAAACCTGTAGGTGGCTTTTTACGTGATGGATGGTCAAACCTTCAACTTTCATTAGCTTCAGAACACCCTTAGGAGTGGCTCCTGTGGTCAATAATAGAATGAGTAATGTGTATGGTTGCCTGATATTTTACACAGAATGACTTTTAAGAGGTAAAGGAAGAATTACTTTCACTTCCACCAAGCTAGTTGATTGCCCCCAATAAGGCTTCATGAAGTTCTGGTGTCCAACGCATTCGCTGCTTGGTTTGAGCACAGTTTGCGGAAGATGATTGAACAACAACCGTGCAAGTTTCTCCACGTGTGGGTTGGACTGTTTATTGGGCTGCTGTAGTGAGAAATTTGTTGACAAATTGTACATATGTTGACGTACCTTCATTAACAGAACAAGGACCAGGAACCCAGACAATTTTCATTTTCTCTATCGAACACCGAAAAAATATGTAATAAGGAACACTTCGGTGGATTAATGTACACCAAAAGAATATGTAATAAGGAACACAGTGGATGCATAAAGAAAATAGCATCAACTTTTGGTTCTGGATCTGCAATACTTGCATCGGGAAGAAGCTCATTCCAGTCAGAAGTCAAAGCACCATTATCAGTGAGAAGACATTTGCGAAATGACAGCTGGAGAATGTTGCATGAGTTCCCTCTCCTGGAATCCTGCTGAACAGGAAAAGAAGACAACATAGTCCCAGAAACCCAAAGTAACAAAGTTGTCTTGGACCTTATCTTTGAATAGGCACAGAAGGTTTTGATTCCATTGTGGCTGTGTAGAAAAGGCAACTTCAGTTTACATTATTCCACAAGATTATGCACCGCATTCATGTCTCAGATAGCAATATGAATGATGTATGAATGATTAGTTAATGAAATGCAAAGAAAGAACCTCCAAGAACGTTAATCTATTCTCAAGTTGCAGAGAAGAGACATTCTCGACAAGTCCAGCAAGGAATTTCCTCCCTCATGATGACGAAGAAATGAACTTGGTTCCAATTCACAAAATAACCACATTATAAACCTCCTCTTGTCGCAAATTCCTTTACTCTAGATCTCAACCTACATTGATCTGAAAGGATTTAGTTTCGGGCACTCCTCAGCTCTTAACACAAATTTGTCCTGCTCTCTCAACAATTATACTTCATGCTCTAGTGCATGGAAAACCTATTGAGAAGCTTTTATGGAGCCTTCAGAATTTATAAAATCAGGATTACCGAAACATTTTTTTCCCATAGAGATGCTAAGTCTTGCTAGAAATTTTTGGGGATCGCAATGCTGAACTCAACTTGGCATCTTGAGTACGAATAGCATATGTTCCTATGTTTCTTGAGTTCCTACATTATGACCATAGTACAGGTGAGAGCTTCTATATAACTAGCAACAAAAATCAGTCATTTTGTTGCTCACTGCAAAGATAACAAATCGTAGAACTATGAACCATATATTATGATTAAAAGTCATCTAAAATTTTAACCAGTCCTCACTCCTTTATCCTATGATCGTAATGTAATACTTTGAAAACAACTAAAACCTGCACAGACAATTTTACATGAAAAGTCTCATCATTAAGGGTGTGATGATTTGCATGAAAAATATTTCTTAGAAAGAAAGTATTTACCCTGTTTTTAGGAAAACAAAAACCTACCTCCCAAAAAAAAAACGTTTTCCTGAAAAAATAAGGAAAATTAAACACCTCAAAAGTTGAAATTTGGGTGTAAAAAAACGTTTATTCAAGTATCGATCATAAACATTGAATGGACTCTTTTGATTCTTCTTCTTAACAGAGCTTTAAATTTTGTTCGTTGACCAAATTTTGAAACCAGTGTTCTTTATTCCCTGCTGTATTTGGCTCGCTGTACAAAAATTAAGTGAAAAAGCACAAACTAATCCTTCATTTTTAATCTCTCTCAACTTTATGCTTCGAGAACAAGTTATTAGTATATCTGTATTTTGATTTTTTTTTTTTTTTTTTTTTTTTAATTTTGGATTTTCTGAATTTAATCAAATTACTAAATAATTGTTACAGAGAGACAGGGTTCGGAAGCATTATGGAAATTCCCAAGGGAGGACCCACATGGAGTCATATGGAGTCAAATGACTGCACAAAATTTTGCCCCTGTTCGTTTTTTTTTTAATCCATTTACAATTTACTTTGATGCACTCGTTACGAAATGTCAAATAAAGTCAAAATATTGCATTCTTAATACCATTTCAAAGTGCTCGTAGCCTAATTATTCACTCATTAATGATGTGCGAAATAGTTAACTATAGCAAAAGTTATGACATGTTAAAGTAGGCCGTTTGAAACTAATATTTTGAGAATTTCGATAATATCCTAATTTTAAAAATTCGTCTGCGATATGTGCTATCCGAATCCACAAATCGTCTATATCATGTAAAAGCTGGTTTCGAAAACTACATCGTTTTCATATCGAATAGTCCAAACGGATATCGAAAATAGTTAAATATTTATCAAACGTACGCTTCAAAATAGACGTTTAACTCGTTTTTTCTTTTAAAAAATTCAATTAATTATTATTTTTGCACTATAAATTTTTCAATATAATTTATATCGTTTCATTTGGAAGTCTTATATGAAATATGACGTAAATTTTTTAGGATCGTTACGGATTAAAAAGAATTTGAATTACTTTCGAATTATATTTGTTTTAAATTTAATTTCATTTACTTCTTGGATTAAACTTGAATTTTATTTCAATTCATTTACTTTCTATATTCAATTTAATCTACTCAATGTTAGCTCAGCAGTTGTCAACGAAATACTAAACTAAACTATAAAAGTAGCAAAATTTATTTAATAATATTGATAATGATGTAATTATACAACGTTTTCAAAGTACCAAAATACATATTAACTTATTTTTATTGATATTATGTTGTTTTTTAAAAAAAATATTTTTAAAATTCTGACCCCACAACACTAAAAGTCTGGGTCCGCCCCTGGAAATCCCCCCTAAGGTAATACCCGCCACCGACTTGGTTTTAGAGTTGCTGTTATTCATATGATTCTCTTTTCTTTTAACTCTTCAATTAACTCACCTTTATTCAAATCTTTTAAGTATTGAGAAATTTGTTTGATTTTCCGTATTGTTAGCTTCTCCATTACTGCTAATATTTGCTGGGGAAGAATTGACTTAGAGAAGTATCCTCTGCTTTTTCTTCCACTAAATTAAACTAGAATGACTTTTTGGTACAGAGACAAGCCTGAGGGAGAAGAGCAATTGATCCCGATCCCGAGCATAAGAATTACATTTGATGCAAAACATACACCCATGTTTCCATCTATGAAAGCACTAATTCTCTTCCAGAGAATAATTTTTTGAATTTTGGATTTTCTGAATTTAATCAAATTACTAAATAATTGTTACAGAGAGACAGGGTTCGGAAGCATTATGGAAATTCCCAAGGGAGAACCCACATGGAGTCATGTGGAGTCAAATGACTGCACAAAATTTTGCCCCTGTTCGTTTTTTTTTTGAATTTTGGATTTTCTGAATTTAATCAAATTACTAAATAATTGTTACAGAGAGACAGGGTTCGGAAGCATTATGGAAATTCCCAAGGGAGAACCCACATGGAGTCATGTGGAGTCAAATGACTGCACAAAATTTTGCCCCTGTTCGTTTTTTTTTTAATCCATTTACAATTTACTTTGATGCACTCGTTACGAAATGTCAAATAAAGTCAAAATATTGCATTCTTAATACCATTTCAAAGTGCTCGTAGCCTAATTATTCACTCATTAATGATGTGCGAAATAGTTAACTATAGCAAAAGTTATGACATGTTAAAGTAGGCCGTTTGAAACTAATATTTTGAGAATTTCGATAATATCCTAATTTTAAAAATTCGTCTGCGATATGTGCTATCCGAATCCACAAATCGTCTATATCATGTAAAAGCTGGTTTCGAAAACTACATCGTTTTCATATCGAATAGTCCAAACGGATATCGAAAATAGTTAAATATTTATCAAACGTACGCTTCAAAATAGACGTTTAACTCGTTTTTTCTTTTAAAAAATTCAATTAATTATTATTTTTGCACTATAAATTTTTCAATATAATTTATATCGTTTCATTTGGAAGTCTTATATGAAATATGACGTAAATTTTTTAGGATCGTTACGGATTAAAAAGAATTTGAATTACTTTCGAATTATATTTGTTTTAAATTTAATTTCATTTACTTCTTGGATTAAACTTGAATTTTATTTCAATTCATTTACTTTCTATATTCAATTTAATCTACTCAATGTTAGCTCAGCAGTTGTCAACGAAATACTAAACTAAACTATAAAAGTAGCAAAATTTATTTAATAATATTGATAATGATGTAATTATACAACGTTTTCAAAGTATCAAAATACATATTAACTTATTTTTATTGATATTATGTTGTTTTTTAAAAAAAATATTTTTAAAATTCTGACCCCACAACACTAAAAGTCTGGGTCCGCCCCTGGAAATCCCCCCTAAGGTAATACCCGCCACCGACTTGGTTTTAGAGTTGCTGTTATTCATATGATTCTCTTTTCTTTTAACTCTTCAATTAACTCACCTTTATTCAAATCTTTTAAGTACTAAGAAATTTGTTTGATTTTCCGTATTGTTAGCTTCTCCATTACTGCTAATATTTGCTGGGGAAGAATTGACTTAGAGAAGTATCCTCTGCTTTTTCTTCCACTAAATTAAACTAGAATGACTTTTTGGTACAGAGACAAGCCTGAGGGAGAAGAGCAATTGATCCCGATCCCGAGCATAAGAATTACATTTGATGCAAAACATACACCCATGTTTCCATCTATGAAAGCACTAATTCTCTACCAGAGAATAATGGATCCGTTGAGAAAGAGAAGGAAGATTTAGAAAGGGCTCGGCCACCCCAGTCGCATTCACTATCTGAAAATGAAAGCTCTGTGGCATCTAGTGTGGGATTGTATCCTCAGAATCATAGGTATCATGATGTTATGGAGGGTAACGATGAAATCGAAGAGTTTGGTGATGGTGACTTGGATAATATAGATGAGATGGACGATCAAGATGATTCGGATTACTATGATGAAGATGATGGAATTGTTTGCGGAGAAGTATGGTCAGTGTCAATTTTAACTGCATTTTATAGAGTCAAGGACAGATCTTTCAGCTCGCGTTATCAACGAGGAAGTAGAGAGTCCTTTGATAAGGATTGGACAGCCCGAGAGGAAAATGGAGGCATCTAGACCAAAAACAATTTCTAGAGATAGAAGTGACTCTATCAATTCCATGCTGAACCCTATTGAGAATACTGATAAGTGTGTTTTACATACTTATTCAATTCACAAACATGACTTAATCATAAGCAAAGTGGTTGAATTGTAGCTGAATTTCGTTGAATTTGTGTATTGTAAGGTATATTGATGGATATGGTGAAATTCACAAGAAAAAACTCGAAAAAGGACCAAAATAAAGGAAATTAAAAGTTCAGGGATCAAGATGCAAATTGCCAAAAGATGATCGGGAAGCATAAATAAGGAAGTGAAAGAGTTAAAAGATCAATTTGACGAGAACATGGAGTATTGGAAGAATAAGAAATGAAAAGAAAGGTTGAAAATGAGAAATTGGAGTTCAAGGACTAAATTGCAACTTTTGAAAAGTTTTTGATACTATGCAGTCGCATAATACAAAAGTTTGTGCAATCACATACCTATATTCAGAGATTTTCAAGACCAAAATCAATTAAACTATGCAATCTCATAGAATTGTACTATGCAGTTGCATAGTACAAATTCAACGGGAAAAATCTGGTTTTCTTATTTGATTAAAATTCTGATGGAAACAATTCAGGGGACCTATATAAAAACCCTAGGGTCGTAGATTTTGATAGAGAACACACTGGGAAGAAAAGAAACACATTTTGGATCGAATTTGGAGCCACAACAACGAAGGATTTCACAGAGATCAAATGAAATTCACTTGATTTATTGATCCGGTAATGTTATTTCTTCCAAATATCATGTATTTTATTACTTTCTCCATGTTAGGCTTAGTTTTCATGTATTAGGAGATCGATGTACCATGTGGTGTGATTCTTTTAATTTCTAGTTTGCAATTTGACATTAAACACGTATTTGAATGTTTGAATGTTTTATATACAATAATTTTTTTCCATAATTAAGTGCACGTAATTATGTGATGTTTGGTGGTTTATTTCATCTGTTTGAGAGAAGAGAAATAAATTTGACAAGGTATAAATCATCGTAGGGTCCAATAAGGGATAGAAATATACCCCTATGCTTTGTGTGAATTTTTAAATGTTCATAAAACCACATGCATTCTTATATATACATTTGTCATAGAGATATAGGCCGGTGGTGTAAGAATAGGTTCGATACATCGAGAGAGAGTGTTGAATAGATTTAGGAGCATTGATTCGTCAATCATTCAGTTGTGTTGTCATATGTGAAATTAGGGTTAAGAGTGATCATTGCATGATATTCGTGATCCTAATGCATTTAATTTTCATTGAATACAATCAATTTGCGTTCTAAATATTTAATTTGTATTTTAATTCGTTAAAACATAGTTTTGCATAATGAGTTCATACCAATCATCAATTTTGCATAATTAGAGTTTTCTTTTCAAATTAGGGATTCGTTTAGGTAAAAATTTCACTTTGGGTAATTTAGTTTCGGTTAAGGCTACGATAGATAAGATTAAACTAATCAATCTCTATGGTACGATATTCGGACTTAATTGATCCACTTTATTACTTGTTAATGAACCGTACAAACACTACTCAGTGGAAAGCTGTGAAGTTCCAATCATCAATTTTGCATAATTAGAGTTTTCTTTTCAAATTAGGGATTCGTTTAGGTAAAAATTTCACTTTGGGTAATTTAGTTTCGGTTAAGGCTACGATAGATAAGATTAAACTAATCAATCTCTGTGGTACGATATTCGGACTTAATTGATCCACTTTATTACTTGTTAATGAACCGTACAAACACTACTCAGTGGAAAGCTGTGAAGTTGAAAGGGATGCAGCCTTTGAAGCTACAGAAGGAGAACTTGATTGTTACGACCTTGAAGCACCCCACATTTCTTTCAGTAGTTTAGAACCGACTTTTAAGCAATCTTCACATAGTTTGAAGCCAAAATTGGATCAGACGAAGAATGCAATCAAAGAGAGCCGTTGATTCTAGTCTTTCGAGCTGGTAGGTTTCGCCTGATATCACTCCTGCAAAGAAGAATAGCAATAGTGATCTTGAGACCACTACGCCTAAAAAGAACATACCACTAGGGTCGACTTCACCGAGGAGCTATGATGATCGACCAATTCTAGGTGTATTGACAGTCGGGGAGCTGAAACAGATGTCAGCATCTTCCTACCCGAGGAAGTCTCTTAGTCGAAACCCTGATGAGATGCTTATTATAGGTACAGTCGGGACCTATTGGAATGATTCAGGTTCGGCGAAGCATTCTGACTCAGTCTCTTCTTACAAAGGCATACCGAATACAACTAGCAAGTATAGAGAGGTATTCTTGAAGTGAGAATTTTTCAATTAATATCACATTGATAATGTTTTGTTCTAAGTAATTGTCATCAAATGTGCAGGACAAGAGAGTGAATTGGTATTCAACTCGAGTCGAGGCGAGATTGGAGAAGCCTAATATACCCCAATTGTACAGAGGAAAGATGAATTGAGATTTTTCTTTTTATTCTTTTTCAGTGCCCGTCACTTGGATTCTTTTAACCTGTTGTAATTTGTGAATTTTATGGGATTTTTATGCATTTGTTTGTTGTACTTCTCACACTATTTTTTGTTTGTGAATTTTCATATAATTCTAATGTGGGACAATACCAAGAAAAAATTCGAAACCAATTACGAAATGAAAGAAATAAAATAAACATTATTTCCTACTAGGAAACTTCTGTTTAGCTTTATGTTTTCTAGTTGTCTTTATCTTTTCTAGGTATAGTAGTGATAGGATTTTTATCTTTTATTTAATTAATTAGGATTATAGTTTCTTTATTGATTAGAATATGAATTTTAATTAGATTAGGATCTTATTAGTTTCCTTATTTTAGACTCCTTATATTAATAAGATTAGGGGATAATTTTGCCTATATATAAGGGCTTTGTACACTTTTTCATAATTCAATTTCATTATTTGATTCTTAATTAATAAGATATTTCAATTTTTTAATTATAGGTGAATTTCAATATTTATTTGATGGATTCCAAATAAGTATCACATCCGTTCAAACGAAATTCGAGCAAACACTCGTTCTTGTGTTTTGAACCAGACAATTTTATTTTATCCACGTTTTCATCCTGCGTCAGGTGGTATTAGAGCCAGTTTTCTCTTCTCTATATCTTTGATTCATAAAGATGGGTGATGTACTAGCTACTGGGGCATATTTGGATGCAACAAATCGACGGACTGACAATCTTACTATTCAGATTGAAGAGATTTGTCAACTGTTTCTACAGGGTGTTAGAAACAATGGGCAGGAAGAACAACTGGCAATCAATAATAAATGGATTACTGAGCGTGTAGTTCAAAGAGAAAATAACAGGAGACTTGTAGTAAAAGAAAGCAAATTGGATGTCAAAAATAAGGAAGAGAAAGACGAAGAGTATATGGATGAAATTTGTGGAAAAGAACAATGAGATTTCAATATGTAATGTGGATAAAGTCTTGTGCTCATCCAAGCGGGAAGATTTAACTTATCGTGAAAAGATCTTTCAAGCCAATGATGTTGTTTGCAATCAGATCATAGATAGTTGTAGTTGTGAGAATCTGATCATGAAGAAGCTAGTACATCATTTGAATCTACGAAATGAACCACACTCAGATCCACATCCAATGAATGGATTGGGAGGGGTTCGCATATTCAGCTGACTCAAATTTGTAAGGTACCTTTGTCAATTGAAAATTGTCACAAATCAAAAAGTTATTTGTGATCTTGTTCAGTTTGATGGGTGTCATATTCTACTAGACCGATCGTGGCAAATTAATTCTAAAGTGGAAGGGAAAGATTTTCCGACCATTACAAATTTAAACATTGAGTTTTCCTTCAATAATGCTTTGTATCATGATGACAACTAAAGGTCAAGTTGTTTTGAAGTGGAAGGGAATAATGGGGGAGAATACCAAGAGAAAATCCGAAACCAATTACGAAATAAAAGAAATAAGATAAACATTATTTTCTACTAGGAAACTTCTGTCTAGTTCTATGTTTTCTAGTTGTCTTTATCTTTTCTAAGTATAGTAATGATATGATTTTTATCTTTTATTTAATTAATTAGGACTATAGTTTATTTAATGATTAGAATATAAATTTCAATTAGATTAGGATTTTACTAGTTTTCTTATTTTAGACTCCTTATATTAGTAAGATTAGGGGATAATTTTGCCTAGATAAGAGCTTTGTACACTTTTTCATAATTCAATTTCACTATTTGATTCTTGATTAATAAGATATTTCAATTTTTTAATTATAGGTGAATTTCAATATTTATTTGATGGATTCCAAATAAGTATCACATCCGTTCAAACGAAATTCGAGCAAACACTCGTTCTTGTGTTTTGAACCAGACAATTTTATTTTATCCACGTTTTCATCCTGCGTCAGGTGGTATTAGAGCCAGTTTTCTCTTCTCTATATCTTTGATTCATAAAGATGGGTGATGTACTAGCTACTGGGGCATATTTGGATGCAACAAATCGACGGACTGACAATCTTACTATTCAGATTGAAGAGATTTGTCAACTGTTTCTACAGGGTGTTAGAAACAATGGGCAGAAAGAACAACTGGCAATCAATAATAAATGGATTACTGAGCGTGTAGTTCAAAGAGAAAATAACAGGAGACTTGTAGTAAAAGAAAGCAAATTGGATGTCAAAAATAAGGAAGAGAAAGACGAAGAGTATATGGATGAAATTTGTGGAAAAGAACAAGGAGATTTCAATATGTAATGTGGATAAAGTCTTGTGCTCATCCAAGCAGGAAGATTTAACTTATCGTGAAAAGATCTTTCAAGCCAATGATGTTGTTTGCAATCAGATCATAGATAGTTGTAGTTGTGAGAATCTGATCATGAAGAAGCTAGTACATCATTTGAATCTACCAAATGAACCACACTCAGATCCACATCCAATGAATGGATTGGGAGGGGTTCGCATATTCAGCTGACTCAAATTTGTAAGGTACCTTTGTCAATTGAAAATTGTCACAAATCAAAAAGTTATTTGTGATCTTGTTCAGTTTGATGGGTGTCATATTCTACTAGACCGATCGTGGCAAATTAATTCTAAAGTGGAAGGGAAAGATTTTCCGACCATTACAAATTTAAGCATTGAGTTTTCCTTCAATAATGCTTTGTATCATGATGACAACTAAAGGTCAAGTTGTTTTGAAGTGGAAGGGAATAATGGGGGAGAATACCAAGAGAAAATCCGAAACCAATTACGAAATAAAAGAAATAAGATAAACATTATTTTCTACTAGGAAACTTCTGTCTAGTTCTATGTTTTCTAGTTGTCTTTATCTTTTCTAAGTATAGTAGTGATATGATTTTTATCTTTTATTTAATTAATTAGGACTATAGTTTATTTAATGATTAGAATATAAATTTCAATTAGATTAGGATTTTACTAGTTTTCTTATTTTAGACTCCTTATATTAGTAAGATTAGGGGATAATTTTGCCTAGATAAGAGCTTTGTACACTTTTTCATAATTCAATTTCACTATTTGATTCTTGATTAATAAGATATTTCAATTTTTTAATTATAGGTGAATTTCAATATTTATTTGATGGATTCCAAATAAGTATCACATCCGTTCAAACGAAATTCGAGCAAACACTCGTTCTTGTGTTTTGAACCAGACAATTTTATTTTATCCACGTTTTCATCCTGCGTCAGGTGGTATTAGAGCCAGTTTTCTCTTCTCTATATCTTTGATTCATAAAGATGGGTGATGTACTAGCTACTGGGGCATATTTGGATGCAACAAATCGACGGACTGACAATCTTACTATTCAGATTGAAGAGATTTGTCAACTGTTTCTACAGGGTGTTAGAAACAATGGGCAGAAAGAACAACTGGCAATCAATAATAAATGGATTACTGAGCGTGTAGTTCAAAGAGAAAATAACAGGAGACTTGTAGTAAAAGAAAGCAAATTGGATGTCAAAAATAAGGAAGAGAAAGACGAAGAGTATATGGATGAAATTTGTGGAAAAGAACAAGGAGATTTCAATATGTAATGTGGATAAAGTCTTGTGCTCATCCAAGCAGGAAGATTTAACTTATCGTGAAAAGATCTTTCAAGCCAATGATGTTGTTTGCAATCAGATCATAGATAGTTGTAGTTGTGAGAATCTGATCATGAAGAAGCTAGTACATCATTTGAATCTACCAAATGAACCACACTCAGATCCACATCCAATGAATGGATTGGGAGGGGTTCGCATATTCAGCTGACTCAAATTTGTAAGGTACCTTTGTCAATTGAAAATTGTCACAAATCAAAAAGTTATTTGTGATCTTGTTCAGTTTGATGGGTGTCATATTCTACTAGACCGATCGTGGCAAATTAATTCTAAAGTGGAAGGGAAAGATTTTCCGACCATTACAAATTTAAGCATTGAGTTTTCCTTCAATAATGCTTTGTATCATGATGACAACTAAAGGTCAAGTTGTTTTGAAGTGGAAGGGAATAATGGGGGAGAATACCAAGAGAAAATCCGAAACCAATTACGAAATAAAAGAAATAAGATAAACATTATTTTCTACTAGGAAACTTCTGTCTAGTTCTATGTTTTCTAGTTGTCTTTATCTTTTCTAAGTATAGTAGTGATATGATTTTTATCTTTTATTTAATTAATTAGGACTATAGTTTATTTAATGATTAGAATATAAATTTCAATTAGATTAGGATTTTACTAGTTTTCTTATTTTAGACTCCTTATATTAGTAAGATTAGGGGATAATTTTGCCTAGATAAGAGCTTTGTACACTTTTTCATAATTCAATTTCACTATTTGATTCTTGATTAATAAGATATTTCAATTTTTTAATTATAGGTGAATTTCAATATTTATTTGATGGATTCCAAATAAGTATCACATCCGTTCAAACGAAATTCGAGCAAACACTCGTTCTTGTGTTTTGAACCAGACAATTTTATTTTATCCACGTTTTCATCCTGCGTCAGGTGGTATTAGAGCCAGTTTTCTCTTCTCTATATCTTTGATTCATAAAGATGGGTGATGTACTAGCTACTGGGGCATATTTGGATGCAACAAATCGACGGACTGACAATCTTACTATTCAGATTGAAGAGATTTGTCAACTGTTTCTACAGGGTGTTAGAAACAATGGGCAGAAAGAACAACTGGCAATCAATAATAAATGGATTACTGAGCGTGTAGTTCAAAGAGAAAATAACAGGAGACTTGTAGTAAAAGAAAGCAAATTGGATGTCAAAAATAAGGAAGAGAAAGACGAAGAGTATATGGATGAAATTTGTGGAAAAGAACAAGGAGATTTCAATATGTAATGTGGATAAAGTCTTGTGCTCATCCAAGCAGGAAGATTTAACTTATCGTGAAAAGATCTTTCAAGCCAATGATGTTGTTTGCAATCAGATCATAGATAGTTGTAGTTGTGAGAATCTGATCATGAAGAAGCTAGTACATCATTTGAATCTACCAAATGAACCACACTCAGATCCACATCCAATGAATGGATTGGGAGGGGTTCGCATATTCAGCTGACTCAAATTTGTAAGGTACCTTTGTCAATTGAAAATTGTCACAAATCAAAAAGTTATTTGTGATCTTGTTCAGTTTGATGGGTGTCATATTCTACTAGACCGATCGTGGCAAATTAATTCTAAAGTGGAAGGGAAAGATTTTCCGACCATTACAAATTTAAGCATTGAGTTTTCCTTCAATAATGCTTTGTATCATGATGACAACTAAAGGTCAAGTTGTTTTGAAGTGGAAGGGAATAATGGGGGAGAATACCAAGAGAAAATCCGAAACCAATTACGAAATAAAAGAAATAAGATAAACATTATTTTCTACTAGGAAACTTCTGTCTAGTTCTATGTTTTCTAGTTGTCTTTATCTTTTCTAAGTATAGTAGTGATATGATTTTTATCTTTTATTTAATTAATTAGGACTATAGTTTATTTAATGATTAGAATATAAATTTCAATTAGATTAGGATTTTACTAGTTTTCTTATTTTAGACTCCTTATATTAGTAAGATTAGGGGATAATTTTGCCTAGATAAGAGCTTTGTACACTTTTTCATAATTCAATTTCACTATTTGATTCTTGATTAATAAGATATTTCAATTTTTTAATTATAGGTGAATTTCAATATTTATTTGATGGATTCCAAATAAGTATCACATCCGTTCAAACGAAATTCGAGCAAACACTCGTTCTTGTGTTTTGAACCAGACAATTTTATTTTATCCACGTTTTCATCCTGCGTCAGGTGGTATTAGAGCCAGTTTTCTCTTCTCTATATCTTTGATTCATAAAGATGGGTGATGTACTAGCTACTGGGGCATATTTGGATGCAACAAATCGACGGACTGACAATCTTACTATTCAGATTGAAGAGATTTGTCAACTGTTTCTACAGGGTGTTAGAAACAATGGGCAGAAAGAACAACTGGCAATCAATAATAAATGGATTACTGAGCGTGTAGTTCAAAGAGAAAATAACAGGAGACTTGTAGTAAAAGAAAGCAAATTGGATGTCAAAAATAAGGAAGAGAAAGACGAAGAGTATATGGATGAAATTTGTGGAAAAGAACAAGGAGATTTCAATATGTAATGTGGATAAAGTCTTGTGCTCATCCAAGCAGGAAGATTTAACTTATCGTGAAAAGATCTTTCAAGCCAATGATGTTGTTTGCAATCAGATCATAGATAGTTGTAGTTGTGAGAATCTGATCATGAAGAAGCTAGTACATCATTTGAATCTACCAAATGAACCACACTCAGATCCACATCCAATGAATGGATTGGGAGGGGTTCGCATATTCAGCTGACTCAAATTTGTAAGGTACCTTTGTCAATTGAAAATTGTCACAAATCAAAAAGTTATTTGTGATCTTGTTCAGTTTGATGGGTGTCATATTCTACTAGACCGATCGTGGCAAATTAATTCTAAAGTGGAAGGGGCTCTATTTACCGAAGACTATCATTCAAATAGCTTTTTGACACTTAATCCTAATTGCACAATGAAACCTAATATCTACCTAAACTCATCTTTGTAATTAATTAAATTCTTCAAGAGACATATATTATTGTCTAATCATAAGTGATCTACACATGTTGTTCACCTACCAACCAATACCATATAGTGTTTCTAACTAATTTCGACTGACTTGAGCTACATAAGGTCTTTACTGTGCAAGACCAATACAACTTGAGACATGAAATATTTTGTAAATACATTTTGAAAGGACTATCCCAAAGTATCATGAGGCGTTTCACGTTTCAAGAAAATACAATTGCATGTATAAGGTCAATTTGTATGTATATACTTTCTATTTACTCCAAGAAAATAAAGAAAAACCTATGCTCAAAAAACAATTTCTTAAATCCGAGCACAAAATTTATCACAAAAAACGAAAATAATCAATTAGGCACAGTCCTTGAATTCCTCATACTGGTTTGTTAATTCTCTCACATATTGTTCAGTTCTACATCATTGTGAAGTAATTTGTGAGAAATGCAATGAGTGGGAGGTGTATTGTAAATCCCGAAAATTTACAAGTATGATACGTAGCATATATAGCAACTTAAGATGCTTTTGAGTCTATCAGCATAATTTTAGAAAGTTCAGGGGCCTAAGGCAAATTAGAATAAGCATCCCATTAGTTTATATGATTAGACTATGAATAATAATATCAAGAGATTATTACTTGAGAAAAATCGAGTTTCGGGTAATTTAGAAAATTCTAAAAAATTTAAGGACTAAAGTGAAATTATGAAAAAAAAATTAAGAATCATGATTTCAGGTCTTTGACTATTGTATTGATGACTTGGACTGAGATTAGTCTATTTTACTTTTATGAGCTTGAACCCGAGATTGGACCTAAATGCAAACACGTACAAAGTTTATGAATTAGAAGAATTAGAATACTGGAGTGTACATTTACAAGTAGTTTGGATTTCTCCATTTTTTGGGGTTTATATGTTTTTTGGGATTTTGATTTTTGCTAGATTTTTTGGGGTGTTATTTATGAATTTTTTTATATTTTCCTAAAAAAATATTTCAAGTTCTGTCAATTTTTTACTTCATATTTTGCTAAATTTGTTTGGTTTATGGAAGTTGATTGTTGTATTATACTTATCATTTCAGCCTAACTTATTTATTATATTTTTCTACGTTGGGCATGGGTATCGAATATTCTAAGCGAACTATTTAATTTGTTAAAATTAAAGTCTGTACAGTTATGAATTCTTGACACACGAGAATTTCTCGGTAGATCAGTTATGTGACCCATTAGTCGCAATAAACTGTCGTTCCTGACAGTTCGTTTCATTTATTCTCGACAGATGAGTCATCTTTCGATATGAACTATCATTCTTGATAATTTGAGGCAGTATTTCTCGAACATTATAGTTTGTCTTTTTTTGTGCTTTCTTTGACGTGTATTTCCCACTAACATTTGAAGAATTCAAAATTTTAAATATATTCATCTCATTTCGTAATATGCAAACTAGAAATATTGAATTCATGTCCATTAGTATTGTAATTGTTGTTTTCAATTAGATGGAGAAGGTATCAACCCGTGCTCGGATAATCATGAGGGTCCATTGCCTAGTGAAAACCAAGAGATGAACAATACGTACGTTAATTATGAGAAATTCAAGATTTTAAATACTCTCACCTCATTTCATAGTTTGCAAACTAGAAATAATGAACTCATGTTGGTTAGTATTACAAATTTTGTTTTCAAATAGATGGAGCCATATAGCCCAAAGTTTCATGCTTGGACAACGAGAATCTTCCCTCAGCTTGTAGCATGATGGAGACGGCCAACATACCCATCGAAAGCAATGATGCTAATAGCACAAAGAGGCAGTTATCAACACACATTCAATTTCCTGCAACATCTACTAGGACTCCATACACCAAGGAACGGAAAAAGAAATAGTGAGATGAAATTTGTTAATACTACTTTAGAATTGATTTGTGACAATGTACTAAATGACCTCATTTTGCTTCCCTCCAAGAATGTGGTTATAAACATGATTTGGTGGTTGCATCCACACGTGGTTACACGTTTTATCCAGGGGCGGAGCCAGGATTTATGTTCAGTGCGGGCATCATTTTTCGATGCCGAACTTCGAGGTTTTGGTCATAGATTTAATGATGATAAAAAATTAAAACAATATTACAACAACACTAAAAACGACATAATTTATATATTAAATTTGTTCCTTGCGAGTTTTCATATTTTGATATCGTCGTACAATAACTTCATTATCGAGTTTCAAAAATATATCTCTCTCTACATAAATAATAGTGCTATCATTCATCCACTGATCACCCATCCGATTGCACAATCTATTCTTTACGATGTTCATTGCAGAAAAAACTCTCTCCACAGTAGCGGTAGCAACCGGTAAAATCAATGCTAAAGTCAAAAGTCTGTAAACCAATGGATATACCTTATCTTTCTTTGTCAAAACCAACTTCTCCGCAAGATCACCAAGGCCATTCAACCCTTCAAACTCTTTGTTAGAGCGCATATCCAAAATATAAGTCTCAAGTTGATCACTAAGTACAATGCCATCTACTGCAGAGAAATCTAATAGATAAAGCTCAGCAAGTTTAATTAAGCTTTTCTTGTCAAAAGAAGAAAATGAATCTTGTGGGCATAAACAAGCTACACAAAGGAGTAACTCTGTATTTACCTCCGAGAAACGATCATTCAATTCTTGAAATTGTAAATCGATGACAGAGTAGAACAAATCTACTCGATAATGATGTAAATTTGTAATTTCTGGAGAATTACGCTGAGGGCGACCACGAATTGCAAGGCGTACAAACATATCATCCATATTGGGTACATGAATGTAATGTTGTTGACAAAAAGAACATACTTCTTCAAAAAAGGAGTCCCACCCTTCATCTCTCATTATTTGGAGTCTTCGTTTGCACAATCTCACCAATTGCATTGCATTCACAATATCTTGATCTTTTCTTTGCAATGCTTTTGACAGTTCATTTGACATCGCCAACACACTTCTCATCAACTGTAGATTAAATGCAAAATCAAATCTTTGTATCAACTCCAATAAATTTGTTGCATCGGATCTTTGATCACAAGAACAAGATTCATCTTCAACAATCACTGCAAGTACATCTAAAACAGAAGAGAACATGGCAAGTAAGCTGACCAAAGAATTATAATGTGAACTCCATCGTGTATCACCAGAGCGCTGAAGGGTTGTTTCTTGATTAAGTCCCCGTCCACTTAAAATCTCACCTTTTTCCAATGCCTCAACAATAAAGTCTAATTGTTTTTCTCGAAAAAGATCACAACGCTTGGAAGATGCTCCAACAGTATTTATCACGTTCCCAACCACACGAAAGAAATTAGTAATAGGGATGTTCTTCTTTGCTACAGCCACAAGCGCAAGTTGGAGTTGATGAGCAAAACAGTGAATGTAAAAGGCACATGGACTCTCCTTCAAAATGAGTGTTTTCAGACCATTAAACTTACCTTGCATATTACTTGCTCCATCATAACCTTGTCCTCTCAATCTAGACATACTCAAGTTATATCTAGAAAATACCTTATCAATTGCAGTCTTAAGTGATAGAGCCGTGGTACTTGTAACATGTTCAATCCCTATGAAGCGTTCATTGACATGCCCACTATTGTCTACATAACGTAAAACAATAGACATTTGCTCCTTCATTGACACATCACAAGATTCATCAACTAGAATAGAAAATAGTGAGTCGCCAACATCTTTGATAATAACATTGATCGTTTCAATAGCACAAGCATTTACTATATCCTTTTGAACATCAGGTGATGTCAATTTGCAATTGTAAGGAGCATTTCCCAATGTAACGGCATTGATAGCTTCATTATGAGCAGCCAAAAATTGCAATTGCACTAAGAAGTTACCTGGATTGGAAGAATCCTCAGATTCATCATGACCTCGAAATGAGTGCCCTTGTCGCAAAAGAACTCGAACACAATCAATGGATGCATTAAGGCATGTGACATATGCATTTCTTGCTTGTTCTGACTGTTTGTAGAAAACTGATTGAATGTGTTGCTCTTGATTCATCAACACTTCACACTTAATGCGAGCTTGATTATGTGCACTATCATGAAGTCCAACATGAGTATGAAGCCTTTTTTTATCTTTCCAATATGTAAAACCTTCGCCAACAAAAGACTCACCTCTACCTTGCTTTCCAGAACTTGTTCTGAAAAGATAACAATACAAACAATAAGCAGCATCCTTCTCTACACTGTACTCCAACCAACTACCGAACTCTTTAAACCACGAATGATTGAATCGTCTAATTGTTACTCCAAATTGTCGTTTTGGAAAGTCATGATTTTGGGGCTGACAAGGACCCTTTAACATATATGCTCTTCGAACTTCATCTCGGATGTTAGCATTGTAATTCAAAATGGGTATCCTTAGACCAGGATCAGTTGGAAGTTTTGTGACATCAAACTCCACATTATTCGATACCCCCTCATCAACATCCACATTATTCGATGCCCCGTCACCAACACTATCTACGTTCCTTTTTCGCTAAAAGTATCTATTCATTTGATATCTGGATTTAAACATTTGATATCCAATTATTACTTGAAGTGAGTGAGAATAATATAACAAAAAGGATCATAACTTCACAATTTCAAAATTTCAATTCGCAAGTGCAATTCACATTTCATAATCCAATTCACAATTTCACATTATCAATCCAATTTCACAATATCAATTTACTTTCCAATTCGCAATTTCACAATGCAATTTACATTTTACACTATTTCACAATCCAATTCACAATTTCAGTTGAGCATCAGCATACTGCACACATGATACATATAAACATCTTTCAGTTGCACACTTGCACATATTGAAGCCACAAATTGTATTCATTGTTTCATTTCCCATAAGCTAGTGCTTCATTTTGATTTTACCAATACCAAACCAAGCAATCTACCATTCTATTTCTACCGATTCTACCCCCATCAAGATTAAAACAGAGCTATAAAATAATGAAAACCGGCCATAACCTCTCAAGTCTCAACAGTCAACAGAAATACAGAATCATTTCTCAATTCTCACAATCAAAAATCAGCAGAAAGAAAGTAATGACAATTGACAAATATAGTCATATAGATAGTGAAAATCCACATTAAACTTCAATCAACGATTCAACTGATCAAGGAACTGAAAATCCACATTAAACTCCAAACTTACTTCGCAGCGGGTTGGGCTTCGCCAGTTCGCCTTTATCTTTTTATTGTACAGCTTCTTCGTTCTTTTAGGCTCCGGCAGCTTCGGGCAATCGGGCTTCTCCTGTTCTCCAGTTTCGGACTTCTTCTTCGCGGTCGCGGCAGTTGGCACTTGGCGGTGGACTGTGGACTGGACGGGAACTACAGTCTAGAAGCCGGCGTCTGGCGAGTTGGAGTGCAGGCTGTGCAGCAAGGGTCGGCGATTCGGCGGCCGGTCGACACTCGACGGCAAAGATAGAGGCGAAGAAGGAAGAAGGGTTTGGTTTTGTTTTGATTTGTGATTTGTGATTTGTGATTTGAAGGAATACGGTTTGATTGGAAATTTGGAATGAAATCGGGTCTGGGTAGTAGGTACGGGTAATGGGCTGAGGCAAATGGGCTGGGGCTTGGGCAAAATCGCTTAATAGGGCTTTAACAAAAAAAAAATTTGGGCCTAATGGAGCCCAAAAGTTCAGTGCGGGCTGGGCCTAATGGGGCTCCGCCCCTGGTTTTATCATTTCTTATTTTTCATACTTGTTGGATTGTTCGATTAGCACAAGAAAAATTGTTGAGTTATATATTATAGTTTTGACAGGAATAAATATGGTAACGTATTTATCAGATGTTCTATAACAGCTTATCACTTATGCATCTTATTTCTAGTTACATTTTCTGCTTCGCAACCAACTATCGAGAATGACATAAACCTTCTATCGGGATCGATAATTTAACTATCAGGATGTTATGCAATGTCTGCAAACGATAATAAAATGTTAATAATAATGTAAGTTGAGAATGTGCTAGGGAATATCATGTCCCTTATACATCTTTTTTATAGTCAAATTTTCTACTTTACAACCATCTGTTGAGAATGATAGAAACCTTTCGACGAGATGGTATGCAATTTTTGTCTAGATAATTATTTTGTTTGTGAACTTAAACACAACTAATGTTTGCAAACAATAATAAAATAAAAATGATAATATAATTTCAGAATATACAATGCTATCGAGGGAACATTTAAAATACAACTTCAACTACTTTCAGACATCAAGCTTATTTACATGAGTTGTGTTAGAATGAGGTTGGAACACGTGGACCAGTTATGGTCAACTCTACCATAACAAGTAAATAGGGTAATACTTGTTGGAACTAAAATAAAAGTGATTTTGTCCACTCTCCACTTCCATTCGTTATCCACATAAACAAACTTTTCCCTCATGCGACACGATAAATCTCAAATGATTACTAATACTTGAAAGTTGAGATTGCAACGGTAAGAACTCTACACAATCAATATGTCGACATTTAATAGCATGAAAGTAACACTTTTGAATATTTAAATCTATTCAATAACAAAATGTGAAATGCATGTCCCGACAGTTTCTAAATATCAAATTCGACATTTGAGATGTCTAATATGACGGTTTCAAAATGCTGAATTCGATAGTTGTACTGTTGGAACTATCAGGAAGCTTGATAAAATGTATTTGGTACCTTGAAAGAAATTATTCAAAACATTAATAGTGATAATAAATTCTCAACTACAATAGCACAATATCTTCCCAAAAGTAAATAAGGAACAACTTAATACTTCATTAATAATGGAATCCTTCACATTTTCTAAAGGATGTTGATATCTTTTCCCTTCAAAAATATATCAAGAGTCAAACAAATCAATTAAGAGTTTCAAAAATTTCAAATAAATATGACCATGTTCTATTTCACATTTAAAATAGTAAGCTATAAGATGAAAATAGAAATAATTTATAATAGCTAACCTCTGAAAAATGGATAATGAATCCAATAATAATATTTTCTTGATGATGGAATGAAGAAAATGAATAAGAAGTGAGGATTTGTAAATGGTAAGAAATTACGTGTTTTTTTTTAAACTTTTTAAATTCTTTTTTCTTTTACCAAAATTCATATTACCCAATATAATAATCATATCTCTAAAATTTATAATATACAAAACAAATTATCACATCACAACATTAACGACATTCAAATCAAGCATTAAATGCTCCTAAAAACGTATCACTAAGGATAATATGGACCTTTCACGCCAAAAAAGTGACATTTTTTACCATCTTTAGTGAATATGAATTTTTTTTATTTTTTTGTGCATTTTCAAATTTAGTGACATTTATGAAAATATCCCTAGTTTAAATCATGAATCCAACAAATTGTGGGTCAACGACATGGATGTAAATATTATATAAATATTCGCTGCAGTTTATTCTTTGCATTCAAGTAGCTTTCCTTTTCACATATCATTAATTTCCACACATCTTTTCTTGATGTTTTTATTGAATTAGTTTTCTATTATGTTGTCTTCAACTATCAAGTCCAAGAATTTTCTCTCCTTTGTATCTTCCAGAACTGAATCCCTTAGAAGGCATTAATATCAACCACAAAAGGGCTAAACATTAAGCCCAATAAGATATAGTATATTTTTTAACATTCGTCTTGGAACGAATATCTCAAAGTATGATGGAGATTCATGTGATAGTCTACTTTCTCATCACACATTCAAATCCGAAAACTGTTGACAACAATTTGCATTCTAGTCTTCCGAGTTTCACCTAATTTAAGCGAACATAATTGTTGATCAAATATACATATCAAACAGAAAAATGAGGCTTCCTTTTTCTCTTTCTATTTGTTTTCATTAACTTGCGTGCACATTTGTCACATCATCTTTTTCTTTCATATGTATAAAGAGGCTTCATTTTTATGTTTATGACAGTCAAAGTAACAATTTAAGTTACTTATAAGCTGAAATTTGAGAACACAAGCCAACGCCCATAAGAATTCATCCTAATGATGACACAGCTTCACACAGCAAGGAAGAGTTGCTTTTTAGTGAAATAATTTCCAACATATGTAGATCATTAAAATGAATGAAAGGAAACGTACACGTCAAAAAAGGATGAAGCAATTTCTCTAAGAAAATGCAATTTCTTGCATATGGTGAATATGTGTATATATAGACTTTCTGTTTTACCAAGAAAATAAAGAAAAGCCTATACACAAAAAACAATTTCTAAAACTGGAGCACAAAATTTATCATGAAAAAGAAAATAAACAAAGACCTTGAATACCTCGTACCGTTTATTAATTCTCTCACATATGGTCCACTTCTACATCATTATGAAGTAATTGGCCAAGATGCAATGATTTAGAAGTATATTGTAAAACCCCAAAATTTTACAAATATGATAAGTAGCATATATGGCAACTTAAGAAGCTTTTGAGTCTATTAACATGATTTTAGAGAGTTTGGGAGCCTAAGTGCAAATTAATATGTTGGTTGAGAATATATTATTAGACTATGAAATAATAATACTAATAAATTATTACTGGAGAAAAATCGAGTTTTGAGTAATTTAGCAAATTCAAGAAATTTTAAGGACTAAAGTGAAAATTATGGAAATTTTTTAAAAATTATGATTTTAAGACTTTAGATTGTTGCTTTGATATCTCATTATGTGCATTCAAACATCAACATCAAAGGTTTACCCCCAAATTGAAGCAAAATACACGGATACACAAGCACAAAACACAATTTGCATTCTAGTTTTCCTTTTTCTTTCTTTCAATTTATTTCCATTGACTTGCCAACATATTTGTCACATCATCTTTTTCTATGCTCTTATAAAAGAAGAAGGGGGAAAAGGGTAATGAAACCCAGACAAGTAAGCATGGAAGGATTAAGAATAGCCTTTATTTTCCTTCTTCATATTCTCCCTTTCAGTTCACTTCCATTTGCACTGAACACTGTATCATCTAAGAGAACAGAAGCAGAGGCTCTTGTAAGGGGGAAGAACGACTTATCATCCTATGATTCTCTCGATTCATGGGACCTCAATAATGACACTATGGAACTTATCAAACAAGACAGAAACTGTGCCACCCGTGAAAGATATTTTACTACGATATTATCCACAAGAACAAGATCTCTCAGCAAATTGTCAAACATAGCAATAATACAAGACTGCATTAGTATATATTTCTCTATTGCTGCAAGAAGCATTAAATATTAAACATCAGACACATACAACTTAGGAACCTAATATGGGTTTAACCTATATTATATGCCACTTTCAATTTAAAACCAATATGCCGTGCGAA